GACTAAGCCTACTTCTTCAGGTTTTAATGGCATACCGGTCATCACATAGCGAACGAAGTTTATTTATTTACCTTCCTTTACTTTTTTGAATCCTTAGCGATACCGTTCCAGCCTTTTGAATTTCTTATCGGTTGGTGTGAATAGAAAAAAAAACATGTTTAACCACGCCGTGCTACCAAAAACCCGGAATAACACGAAGGCGGCGAAAACAAAACCCAAAACAATTCACACACTGTTTATTTCGTAGTTGTTTTGGAATTTATTCCCGACGCTTTCTTAGATCGTGACTGGAAATAGAAAACTCTGGCGAAATGCGGTTTCTTCTAAAAATGAAATTTAAAACAAAAAGGGTCGTCGGTTTTTCTTAAATTCCTCGCTTATGATGTAGGTTGCGTTCGCCTTTGAATTTCGGAAACTTGTATAGCAACTTGTGTATTATAAAAAATTAATACATTATTATAGTCATTCTTGGTTCATTAACTAATTTTTTGCAACTCCTGAAATCATCTGATCACTAAATTTTAAATTATAAAACCTAATCGTTTGTGATTACGATCAGATTTGCTATTCGTCTCTCTTTTTATAACTTCTACCTATACTTCACGTAAATAAATGAATTAAAACATTTTATTATTTATAACATGTACGTTATCTGAAGCCTGACACTACAGTGGTGTAAGTTTATTTAACTTTTATAATTAGTCGACATCAAACCTTCGGCACTGCACTAACACACTATAACGCGTTTTACCACAAACCGAAACTCAATTTTACGTACTCGACGCGCGTTTCGCCAACCAAGTTGGCATCTTCAAGAGAAGATTAAAACTAAACTTAATAGAACAAATGCTCTATATATATATATATATATATATATATATATATATATATATATATATATATATATATATATATATATATATATATATATATATATATATATATATATATATATATATATATATATATATATATATATATATATATATATATATATATATATATATATATATATACACATCGGGAAGTGGGAGAGGGAATTACGCACTGTTCACGCAACCAATCAGCGCGTATAGTGGGCTAAATGGGATTGGACCTCTGTCCTTGTTCAGTGCCTTATTCCCTCTCTTAACAATTTCTAAGCTTCGTAGGCATCTAATTTTCTACTATTATTTACATGTTTAACTAATTTTAAATTACTTATATCTGCCTTATGATTATTGTTCTACCAAATTTTAAATGAGCTAAATGTTCCTTAAATCTAACATTAATTGATCTTTTGGTTTGCCCTACATATGACTTGTCACAACAACATATTTCATAAATTCCCGACTTTTCAAGGGTATCTAGTTTATCCTTGGGATTCCCCAAGAGATTTTTTAATTTTGATCCGGACTGATTGACACTTCGAAGACCTGCGGCACTGAAGACTCTATCAAGTCCACTTGTATATTGGGGAGAGAAAGGAATTGAGACTACTTTTAAATTTTCCTTATCGGCTTGAAAGTCGACTTTTCCCGATAAATTGTCAAAATAGTTGCTTCGATATTTTGAGTTTTGACCATCAGTATCATAAAACCTCCTAAAAAAATGCTTCTTTTTGCAAACAGGACAACCAATACTGTTGGAGAGGATATTCCTGCTCTTTTTATAAAAGAGTTTTTGGCTCTACAATATAGTCACAAATTGCTACGCCCGCCTAGGTATTTTTAAGATTGTCATTTATAATATATAATATAAATATAACAGATGAAGCACTAATGACCGCCACTGCAGAAATACGTATGATAATTAAATTGGGCTCTTATCAACTAATTCTTAATAAATTCTTAAATAAATAAAAATTACATTTTATATTTTCACGTTTCTTTCTTGAGCATAAATTATGGTGATGGTATCAGTTAACAGTCCTGGTATATTAAACAAAAAATTCTATTGAATTGTATCAACATTTTTGTGAATTAATAATAAGAATATCTAAATATCGAATGTACGATATATAAGATATTAAAGGCACGTCTGAAAATATTTATCAATTTCTCCAACTTTGTTATATATTTAAAATAAATAAATACAAATACAAAAAGCAAGAAAAAAACTAAATTCGAATACAAAAATCTGGTAACTTCGTTTAGGATTTCCTATTTAATTTATAATAATAATAATAATATTTAGTAAACATTTTAAATGGCCTTTAACTGACGAAGAAAACGACGGCGAGACATGGAAAAAAACAATAATCGATACCTAACAATTACCGTCATTTGATATTTTTTTTATAAAGTTTATAAGTCATCAATCAATCATCTCAATTAGATTATTAACACAATTTTTTTAAATGTGTTTAATGTCTAAAGAAACATTGTTTTAAATAAATAACAGAAATATAGGGACCGTTGGGATTAGACAATGAAAACTGTTTTATAAAAAAAAATCTCAGTTTTATAAATTTTTCTCCTCTTTTCCATTTAATTTGTATTATTTACTACTGCAACTTTCTACACTAACAACGATTTATTGCTGTTATTTCGAAATCTACAACTATTTCAAATAGGCAATCTTATACTAATTCAACCTTTTTTTAAATGCAAATTACATTCCCTTTCTATAAAGACCTCAATTTCAAATATAGTCGAAGAAATCGATTTGAAGTTTAGAGCAGCCACTTTTGAAATAAAATTCAAAACATGTCAGTAACGGCAAGATTTCAGTATAGGATAATATCGAGGATATTATGGGCGATATACAGTGAATCGCAGCTTAAATAATGCAGTCACTATAACAAAAACTATGACTGACTGACTGACACTGAATTTATCTTTATTTATTTGCCAAAAAACATCTTATTGAAATTAAGTTAGTAAAGAGCCTTCTAAAAAGTGTGAATTACTTTTTGTCTTGAATATGCCTTACTTAGTTAACAATAAACAATAAATTAAATTATATGCAATATTAACATCACAGCTTAAATGATGGAAATATAATAACCGGGGTCAAAACTTATCACTTTGAAATTTACCAAGGCTTTTATTTATTACTGCAATTGTTTTTTGTTTAATTGGAAATTTTAAAACACACTTTCGTTCAGTAAAACGAATTTTTTTAAAAAATGGGTCGTCGAACTACAATTTCTGAGAAAAATTTAATTATTACTGGTCACAGAAATCGATACAGCCAAAGACACATAGCCAAAATACTAAATAAATGTCCGTCAACTGTTCAGCATATCATAGAACTTTACTGAAGCAAAAACAGGGCGTAGAAAGTCAAGGATAGCTCTAAATAAGATCTTCAATGAACGTGAGGAAAGATGGATTGTAAGAGAGGTAATGAATTATCAAAAAAAAAGTGCTCCAAAGATGTGTGTCGAGGTACAAAGACAGCTTGGAACACTGTATAACTCCGAAACAATTCGACGAATCCTGCAAAAAAAATAATTTACATAGTCGAACTGCTAGAAATAAGCATTTCATTAGCCGAAGAAATAGACGCGTCAGATTGGCATTCGCTAGAGAGCATATCGATAAAGATTTGAACTTTTAAAATTCAGTAATATTTACCGATGAGACCAAAACAAACTTATTTGGATCCGATGGAAGTATCAGATGGAGAAAGAATAAGAAAAGGTTAAAATTGAAAAATTATTATTCTTATGGGGCTGTAGGTCATCTGCAGGAGTAGGTAATAAGCATTTCATTGAAGGACATATGAACTATTGATAAAGCAACCCAATGCCCTCGCGAACCCTGAAACGCGGATATTGCGTTAGACGTGGCAAAGTCTATCGCCTCCCTTGATCACGCTGCATAGACGTGACTGACCGCCCCGACGGCGCCTGTTTTCCAGACATGCGTTGCGCGAAGCAGCCAGTCGACCGCGACCGCCCTTGATAATAGAAACGTGAAAATCGCCCCATCGCTAAACCCCCTTTAAGCCCCTTTCACTATTAATATATTCCCTTATAAGTCGGTGTCCTCTTTGGACTAGCCTCTCAAACGGTTTCTTTCGAGGAAATTTAATCTCTAATTTAACGCAAATTGTGTGTTTGTGATTAACTCGAATAAACTGATTTGTTAAACGCCTCATCTTTGTACCGTCGTCGCGTTGTGACTGAATATAGTTTGTGTTGTGTAAAATAAACCAGCCCCGCAGTATACAGTCCACACCCCCAACAAATCAACCCGTTAGATGGTGGTGAAGCAACGATACGTTTCTCCCCCATGAACCAAAATGTGTATTTGGATGTATTAAGACAGACCAGTCACCAGACTTAAATGTAATTGAAAATTTGTGGTTGACATTAAAAAACAAAGTAAATAGTGCCCCAATATCAAACACGAATGAATTAAAAGTAAAAATTACTGAAGTATGGAACACAATTTCCCAGGAGTATACTAGAAAATTAGTATGAATCAATACCTAGAAGAATACAAGCCGTTATCGATAATGAGGGAGGCCCAACTAAATATTAGCAGGAGTATTGCAAATTATGCAGTTGTTTTTCTCAATTGATTTGGTTATATTGTGTTTTGCATCATTTAAGCTGTGACGTTAAAATTGTATATAGTTTAATTAATTCTTTATTGTTAACTAAGTAAGGCAAATTTAAGACAAAAAGTAATTCACACTTTTTTACAAGGCTCTTTACTAACTTAGTTTCAAATAAATAAAGAGACATTCAAACCAGTTAGTTTTTGTTATATCGACTGCATCAATAATAAGTAATAAGTCACTGTATATATAGAGTCTAGAAAAATTCCAAAATTATTTAATATGCAGTGTGGTCTATTTAAAATAAAAAAGTTGTGGCTTATCCATGAACACAAAAACAAACTGTATATATAAGACTATAATATTTTAGTATCAGTATCAACGAATCCAAGCCATTTTTGTCTCTATGTTTTTCGATATTTGTTACAGATTCAGGGATTAGGTATCATCCCATAATAAACGGGCAAGCCTGTACCCTTCGTATATAATGTGGTCAATAAGTTTCCATATCGATGTATAGAATCTTAAGTTGGCATTACTGTTCAAGATGGCGACCGATTTAACAGCTGTCAAGTGATTTATTCTCAGTTTGGTTTGGAAATTCATCATGAATAGACTCACGCCTGAACAACGCTTGCAAATAGTGCAAAACGAGATTGCCGTTGTTCCCGATTTTCATAAGCGAATTTTTTTTAGCGATGAAGCGCACTTCTGGTTGAATGGCTACGTCAACAAACAAAACTGCCGCATTTGGAGCGAAGCTAATCCTCAAGTGTATGTCGAAACACCGTTACATCCAGAAAAACTGACTGTTTGGTGCGCTTTATGGGCTGGTATAATCATTGGTCCGTACTTCTTCAAAAATGATGATGGGCAGAACGTTACAGTCAATGTTGATCGGTATAGAGCTATGACTACTAACTCTTTCATTCCTGAATTGAATAACCATGATGTCCAGGAAATGTGGTTTCAATAAGAGGCGCAACATGTCACACAGCTCGTGCCACAATCGATTTATTGAAAGACACGTTTGGTGACCGCCTAATTTCACGTTTTGGACCTGTGAATTGGCCTCCAAGATCTTGTGATTTAACACCGCTAGACTACTTTCCGTGGGGCTATGTAAAATCATTGGTCTATGCGGATAAGCCACAAACGCTTGACCATTTGGAAGACAACATTCGCCGTGTTATTGCCGATGTACGGCCACAAATGTTGGAAACAGTCATCAAAAATTGGACGTCCAGATTGGGCTACATCCGCGCCAGCCATGGCGGTCATATGCCAGAAATCATATTTAAAATGTAATGCCACAAGATTATCTTTCGGACAAATAAAATTCATGTCAATCGAATAATCCATCGTTGTTTTATTGCAACTTAAAGTTCTATACATCGAAAAAAAAAACACTCATTATAATATTATATCGAATTATTCGGCAAACAAGTCATAATAGATCATTTTATTGTAAACCTTAGTTTTGGTTAGTTTCCAATTTTGCAAGTTGCTATAAATTCTTAAATTTATATTCGGCACTTCCAAGGCACAGGCGAACAAAAAATTTGACTGCTTTCGGTAAGCTTTACGACAGATCCGGCGATTGCAATCAAACAATGTAAGAAGCCGATTTACTTCAAATGATTAATAGTCACGGGAATTCCTTAAATTTAGTGTCGATTCCGATCTCATCTCTGTCTTAATCTAAATCCTTTGGATTGACGACTCCCGCGTCTGCATAAATGGAAAACGGAGTGGGTAAATCCTTTACGGGATTTTGTTTTTCTTTTTGAATACACTATAAATTTTGCTGAAAATGAATCCCTTTGCCACTTGAAGGAATTTAAAACAAATATATTTTTATTTGACCTCCTAATAAAATATTAAACATCTTGACTAGTCTTTTCGGGCATAGGATGGAGGGATTGACAAAGAAAAACGTATAATAGAAACTACGTACACAATAAACCAACTAAATCTTACATAGAATACTTAAGTTTTATTTTTATTTATTAGGCCTATGACATAATGACCTCAAACCAACCAACGCAACGCAATCTTATGTTTTTTCTTTCTTCCTCCGAACGAAAATTATTTGTTGAAATTGTTGAGAGAAAAATGACATTCAGTCCTAAGTACTTTGACTTGTGGTGTCAATGTTGAAATTTGACAGAAATTTCAATAAACCTTAAAATTTGGTATGCAGGAAGACACCCCAAATCAATAATTGCAAAAAGACATTTAAAGAAATTGAAAGATTTCAAGTGACCTTGCAAATTTCAATAATAGGTATGCACTAAGTCAAGGTTGAAAAAATGTCAATATCAATGAAAAAAGAACCTAAATATAATTTTTTATTACTGCTTCAAAATAAAATTTAAGGGTAGGTGTTAAATTAGATAGTTTTTTTAAACTAAAAATATCTAGTAATACGTTATGATTTTTTTTTTGCAATTTACTTTTTATAACCCTCCAAAGTTATAGAAAAAAAAACAATTAATTTTTTTATAGGTGTGATTTAAATTTACAACGAAGACAGCTCAGAGACCGAAGTGATCTATTATTACTACCAGAAACTAGCTTTAAAACTCTTTATAGAATGTCCAGAAAGTTGGACTACTTTGTCAAATTGGACCTCACATGAAAGATGCCGAAAGGACAACAGCTATTCCTAGATTCTAAGGGTGAATAAATATGAAGAACAAACCTTGAAATAATAATTTTTAAATATTTTAGTTTTTCGTGTCACTAAATTTTTTGTATCGTACCAAAAGGATTGGGCAAGACTTTTAACAAGCATGCATCAGACTTCTATCAGCCGATGTTTGTCAGACCTTATAGTTGGGGTTGGTCAGAATAACAGAAGAACCGCCAGAAGCAATTGTAAGTAACTGTCCATAAAATATTGGAATATTGGAAATGGATAGTTTTCCTAGTGTAATAAGACGTATTGATGAAACTCGCATAGTCATAATTGTTCAATAAATTGAAAACCCTGAAATGCCTGGAGTTATGTCTTATTGTAGGAAACAATATTCTAGTTTAAGTTCGAATAGAAAGCAACAAACAAGATCTGTCCATTATTCTCCAATATGGCAGACTTCAAGAATAAGAAGTCATCCTGAAAATTATTTTATGGAAAAAAACTAATCAAAACTTGGCAGACGACGTACTTATTAGGGAAGCTTAATTTTTCATTTTAAGATCATTAATTAGTAATCATAAAGAGCAGCAAAATTATTTACTCTTGTGCATTGATTGATTAGAAAATTTTATGTTGAAAATTTTTTTTATTATCCATTATGTTTTTAGAAGATTACGATGACCAAGAAGATTATGAAAATTTGGTTGGTGGAAGATTACTTAAACCGAATAGAAATAGAGTAGTGGAAAATTACTGTTTTTGAATAATGAATTACCGACCCATTTTAATTATAAATGATATAATGATATGATAAATTTTAATTTACATATCACATAAATAAAAATTCATATGATTTTTATTAAATTTATATTTATAAAAATCTTTTATTTTAATACACTGGTGATAAGATTTGGCATTGCTTTATTTAAAATATGGAGATTGTTTTCTATCGCACTTGAACTTCTTCGAATAAATTTCGCTTTGTGGTACAAAATTTGGGAAATCAATCAAATTACATTGTATTACAAAATATTAATGATTTCATACAATGTTTTCTGCATCTTTTTCCAAAATTCTTTGTTTTTAAATTTTTATAAGCACAGGTTTGCACTGTTGCCCTTTTCGTTTCAGTAAACTGAATCTGGAATATAAAATGATAATCTCAAAACAACTTTTTTCCTTATAATTTATTACCCAACCTCCTTCCACCCTTCTGTTTTCTTAATAACCCCTCCCATCATTGGGAATTTGTTCCCATGCCTGTTTTTTTTTTTTTTGTTCAGGGTGCCTTTAACAAATCATATGCAATTTTCTTTTGTAATAAGGTCTATAAGCATTTTATACTGGTCACTAGTTGCTTTTTTAGGAGACATCTGCAAAAACGCTAAAAGTATAATCATTAGGTCACACACACATTAGGGTTTAATTTTGACGACCACAACCCCAGCGAATTAAATTAATTTGATTATATGCCATCGGAATTGAACGATAAACATAACATACTTCATTTTCTGCACTTACCTTTGGAATCTTTCGATTTATTATTTGGGCAATCGTAAAATAAAAATGTTCATCACAGTAAATGAAACAAAAAGATTTTTTTATTTCAATGTTCTTATCTCGAGGCTCATTACAACATACCAATTTCTTTCAATGATGAAATGAAAGTTAATATTTATTGAAATAATTTCAACATTGACATTAAACTCGACGTACTTATTCCATTGCCCCTATTGTAGAGGAGAGTCGATGTATTTGTCGGTTATCCAAACGAGAAACGATTGGCAAAGCGTTACTTATCAGCGAAAAACAATTTCACCATGTAAATCAAGGCAAAGAGTAATTCATTGAAATATCCCGTTGTCTCAAGTATTTCGATGTAGGAATATTGATTGTTGTTTAGCAAAGGCAACTCATAAAATTGATTGTTTAATCTCTAACTTTTTAGAAAATTGTGGATTTGTTCCATTTACTACACATGGCAATTAATAAGACATTTTCAAAGTTGTGGATAATACTCTTCGAATAACTTTCCCCATAGTTCTGAGGTCTGAGAAAACGGATTGTCAATCAGCGTTAACTCTTCGTCAATTTTGAGACATTTGAAATTTTGCGGATCCTTCGCTGCCTCCCAATTAGCCGGCGAGCCGTCAAGGGTAGGTGTACCGTCCCTAGCGAAATTAGTCCACATTTCCACAATATTTCTCATGATTTTTATGTCAGCCGGTTCATGCGCTACGTTGCCTTTACCCATCAAAATGTATGGTATGTCAGAACCATAAGATGTTCCTCTGCCTGCGAAAATGGTAAGTTAATTTATTATAAATGAAGAAATGGAAACTGAAAGAAAATGGAAAAGCAGTGAGGGCTACAGTTTCAACGATTGGAATTCCAAAGGTATACATCTGGACTTCAATTCAATTCAATTAGCCATTTAAATAAGTATTTCTTTACGATATCGCAACTAGTAAAATTTGTTAATAACTGGAACGAACAGGGATGGACAACTTTTTTCGTTCTTTCATGAGAAATTTTGAAACTGACCTTAAAGAGAAATTACCCTAAAGCGAGGTATTTCGGACTTCTATTATATTTATCATGTATCTAAAGTCGTCCTCCTAAGGTCTTCGCTGTTTTCCATAGTAAAAAACGCAATTTATAAAATTTTGTAATAACTTCTCTCTCTACCAGGAGTGGTGACCCTTGAGATTTCTGTCGAAGTCTTCTAGTCGAAGGATGCGATTCACTACCGACTTGTTAATTTATTATGCAGCAACAACTTTCATACAGTCCACTATTACGAACGATATACTTGAATTAAAAAATTGACCACTTCGAGCCGGATATTTAAGCTAATAGATTTAATAAATCACCATATTGCCCATTAAAAATTATAGTTTCGTTTCAGACAAGTTAATTTCAAAAGCATGTACAAATATTTCAAAACTTTTTCTAATCTTTCAATATTCCATTTCTTTCGTTGTAATCTTTTGGTACTTTAGCCCGTGTCCGTGTGGCTTTGCAAGCAATAATACTTTGCAATTTATTACACTTCATTACAAATTATAAAATAAAAGGGATATTTAGCTGTACAATTAAATTGTGATACAAAATATATCCCTCAATTGTGCCTTCCTTATGATAATTTGAAGGAAAAGTACGAAAAACTCGAAGTTCTTCTAAACTAAATTCTTATGTTGGTGACATCAGGTAATATTCAAGATAAAGTGCAATGATTAATTTTATTATGAATCAGTTGAAATTTATCATAAAATTTGTTCAATAGAATCTAGCGGAAAACTCTATTTTTTATTTATTTCGGAAACTTATTCGCTGTAGAAAATTGCCAAAATAAATTTTTTGGCACAGCAACGGCAATTTGCGCGATCACCAGATACGCCGCGCCGATGGGTCAAAGGGATAAAGAAACGAGAACTAGCAGTACGCCACGATACAGCGCAGAGGGTGTTACCACAAGTACAAAATACTTCGCGACATTTTAACTTTACTTTGTTTGATCATGTAGTTAGTAGTTTAGAGTAAATAGGAACTCGGGGTGTCCTTTAACGAACAATAAATAGGTCATTAGGAAAGATAGAGTGAAGCGTGGTGACAAGGCATTGAGGCAAAAACTTAAACCAGATAGGCAAAACGCGCGTCCACAGCGATGTATAAGTTGTGATGATGTATCCATTCCATGACTTACAAATTTTATCGGAAAAATCACATTCTAATTCTACATTCTACATTCTAATTCTAACGAAACGAAAATATCGTGCCAAAAATGCGAGAATAAGCTTGCTATATCTATGTGCGATCCGGATTACTCAAAACAAAAAAACTAATCGAGAAACAAGATAACCACGTTCATTGTTCAACGACCAGTATGTAAGTGCAATTAATGTACCCCAAATTTATTTTGATCCATTAGCAGCCCATCCAGAAACGATCCAGTAGGTAATTAAAAGCTTTATTATCGACTTTCATCTTGCGGACGTGGGTTCAAATGAATGAATTATTTAGGAATATCTGTATTAACAGAGCCAATTGGTATTGGAAAATTGTAAGTGGAAAGGTGAAAAAATTAACGGAATTCTTAAGAGCAGCACAATATTTGACTGGTCAATTCATGGAGAAAGTAACGACCAAAACTTGGCAGTAAATTGTGTGAATTCGCTACCTGTTAAAGTAGCAGAAAATACCGACAGTGCAGTTGACATAAAACAATTTTGAAATTTAGAATCGATTAGGTTAAGTCATAATTAATTAATAGAATATGACAAAACCGTACCAGAGAATTTAGAAAATGATTGTGCAGAATGAGTACAAAAATGAAGCAACAGTGACAAAATTTATTACATGCCACACAAATCTGGATCATAGAAATGACTTAGATATCTAAAGTTCGTTGTGTATTTGATGCATCGACGCATATCGACAGATGCTTATCTTTGAATGACACATTATTACAATGTGAAGATTTGGTACCTTTGCTGTTAAGTATACTAATGAATTTCTGAATGATCAAAAAACCGGATGGATAGTGGACATAGAACTCAAATCTTAGCATCAGCGCATAAAGCATTTCTACAAATTGAACTTAATGAGAACTGCAAATTACAAGATTACCGTAGATTGTTGAATGGAGGATGAAACGAGTAACTTTTGGTGTCAAAAAACATTTAACTTCATAATTGTCGGATTTTCAACCGTTTGCTGAAGTGCTTCTATGATCCTTCTGGACGACAGCCACAGCGTGAATTTTGCACAGCAAATATACAATCAAGCTAAACAGATTATGTCGATGACAAACACGAACTTAAAAAAATGGCCAACCAAAAATACTACTTCCAGAAATTTGGACCAAAAATTTGATTTGGACGAAATTTTGCCCGAAAATTTGGCTAAACCATGGATCGAATGGACTAACGATCTGTTACCAATTTGGTCAAGGAATTTGATTGAAGATTGTTAATGCTATATCGATCTTCACATATTTTCCAATGCTAGCTCAAAAGCATATGGAGCAGTGACTTATTTGAAAACAATCACGTACGAAAATAACAGGCGAATACACACATGCTAAAAAATAGGGTAGCGCCAATTAATGAATAAGTGAAAAAAGTTTGACGCGACCTAGGTTAGAACTCATTGGAGCTCTGTGTGTTGCAAAATTTCAACCTCAAAATTCGAATCGATTCTTAGGTATTGTGGACAGACTCAAAAATAACTTTGCATTGGAATAATAGAAAAGCAAAAAATGGAAGCCGTACATATCCCATCGGGTGTCTGAAATACAAAAATTGACACGGTCCAGCTCAAGAAAACTGTGCTGACCTATTGACAAAGGGAGTGAAGGCGAAAAGTTTGATGAATGTACAAACATGGAACTTTGGACCTGCGTGGTTCCTCAAAAATGACCACAAATGGCCTAAAAATGACATTCAAGTAACTACAGAGGAAGTATCTGCCTATGCTATACAAACTGACATCGCAAACGATCTTCGCAACACCATTTTCGGTTTCCAAATGTACAGCAACTTAGACAAGTGTTTGAGGATTACATGTTATATCTTTTGATTTGTAAACAAAAGATTCATAAAGAAAAGTCAATAACCATTACGGAAATGCAAGAAAGCGAAAATTATTGGCTGAAAGTGACGACGAAATAAAGTCTTTAAAAGCTTGTAACAAGTAAAAATCCAGTTCCAAGCTTGAAACCCCTTTTTTCGATGAACACGAATGTTTAGGGCTAGGAGGAATAATTTTACCTAAAGCATATTCTTTGATTGATCAGCTTATTTGGAGCTCACATGTGAAAAAAAAATCATGGAAGAGTCAGCTTAACAATGACTATTTTAAGAGCAAAATATTGGATAATACATTTTAGGCAACCAGTTAAGACAATTTTACGTAATTGTTTAAAGTGTCGAAAATTAGGAGGTAACCATGCAAGCGAATAATTTGCTCAAGGTGGCTTTTACTTGATGAAAATCCATTTATCAAAATAAATAAGAACTAAATTATATATTGTGTTGTCGAAACAATTGTCATGTAAAAATATATAATTTCGTGAAAATCTGAACTTTTAGTTCTTATTTATTTTGAACATTTTGCTCCTTTACCGAGAAACCGCTTACAGGAAGCTTCACCGTTTCAAAGGAACGGCTCAAAGAGAGAAAGGGAAGTAAACTAGCAACTAGGAAGTAAACGATACAGCGCAGAGGGAGTTAGGACGAGTACAAAATACATCGCGACATTTAAACCTTGCTATGCATGTAGTTAGTGATTTAGAGTAGAGTGATTTCTAGACACTCCACATTTACGAAAATTTTCAGTTTGTCAAACGTTGAGAAATTTAAATAGTTAGGTTATTAGGAAATATACAGTTAAGCGTGGTGACAAGGTATTGAGGCAAGGATTTAAATCTGAATCAGCCTTTTACGAGTTACTGCACAGTTACATTACGGCCCTATGATGGAATATTTTTATATTTGCTTTTGATAACTTGATCAGCAAAACGCGCGTCCATAGCGATGCACTAATTGTGATAATGTATCCGTTCAATGACTTATAAATATGTGACGCTTTGAAATTGGAAACGCCTTGGAGAACATTGTCCAAGTTATAGTGTAATTGTGAATGTAAATTGTAGGATAGTCTTCAATTGATTTCTTACCGAGTTCAAATTTCAGGTTGACCATTTTTCCCAACATATCTGCAAATTGTCTTTCGACTGCGAATTGATAACAAAAGACAGGATTTTTCGACGACTCAAGCACCAGTTTGATAAACTCCGTTATGCCTGCTACGAACATTGCATCAGAGTACAGCTGAAACAAAAAGGAGAATTTTTAGATTTTATTATATAAATATTATTTGATAAATAACACTCACACACAACAGCTTTGTAGGTAATAAATAAAAAATATCAGGGGTACAATGTTAGAATCATATAAGACCTGTCTCGCCTTCATCAAATAGCATCTAAAATTTTCAAATAAATAGCACATTTTACATTTATTTGCAACGCATTAATCTATATCAAAATTTGAAGCAGAAGTAATTTCGAGACCAATTCAACAAGGGTCTGGGATGCATAGTAATAAATAGTGAGTGGGATCCAGATCAGCATGCGACGACCACTTTCTTTAAACTGAAAACACATATTTACACATAAACTAAAAATGGTTGTTTTTTAAGTTATGAATGCGTAGATATTCAAAGCTAGCTTCAAGAACGAAACTGAAGGTTTTGAAATTAAGGAAAAATAGATTGCCTACTTTGAACATATACGCGTGAACCATTTTTTTGCTCCTTGCTCACCCCAAAAAGGTCCGGTTTGGTTAGAGAGGGTAGAATAAGAAAAAAAAGAGTGTAGGCTATCCAAAACTTACAAACACTTCAACAAGCTGCAATCTGTTGTATAATCTGACAAGACGGAAGGCGTCTATCCAGGAATTTGCATGAGACTCGAAGTAGGAATATGTTGCATTTATTGCTAAGAAAAGACAAATTTTAAAGGCATTTCAATGTGTAAATATCGACACAATTATTAAATCTGTTAAAATAGGTCCTACTAATATAATCACGAACGTCACACATTGGATACTTTTGAAGCAGAAAATTTGATGGATGATTTCTGTGAACTTTTTAGATCCGGCTAATATTACATTTAAAAGTTTTAAATCTTGAACATATGAACAAAATAATCCGTTTTCCGGTGGGTAGAACTGTTTAAAAATGATGACAAAAATGCGGAAAAACTTACATCGGAAAATTCATTGACAACATCATAAAGTTTTTCCACGGGCGTTTTCATCAATACCCTCAAAGCCTCTTTTTCAGTACTGACTGATTCACCCAGTTTTTCAGCTACCTCGATTGCATTCTTTGACCCCCATGCCCAAGGGTTCAACACGCTACCGGACTGACTTATTGCTTTGTGAAACAGACCCTTAGAAAGCGGCGATATTATCTATAAGGAATATATTTAAGATCAAAATGCATTTAGCTGTGTGCAATATTAGTAACAAATAATTTATATTATCATGATCAAGGTGCCGAATGTCAGAACAGCGTCTCAAATAACTTGCTAACATTAGAAACAATTGCTTCTGTCAATGGTCAGGCATGTCTGAGACTCCAGATTCGACAGGGTCTTATACATTCTGTATCTAAGTATCTAATTTGAGTACAACAAAAAATTACATTTCGTAGTTTCTTGCATCTCTCCCATATCTATTACGATTCTAAATAACAGTTTCACAAATATCACTTTTCGTGACATTTACTTATTATTTTAATTTTAGTTTAGAAAAATTGCACTATATAACATAGCTTTGCCTAATTTTTACTAAAGGGTGTTCAATTTTTTATTCAATTTTATATAATTTTCACAATTAACTGTCACTTTCTCCATCCGAGACGTATGTGCAGTTTTTTGTTTACATGCCACCTTTAGATAAGATTTCAAAAATCCTACATTTATATTAATTGGTAGATCTCGTGTCCTGCATTCATGAGCCAGTTTCCTGATATTGTCCTGATGATATAGTGATAGACAAAACATATAGCACAAAGTTAATAATTACTAATAGAACTGCTACATTTTGGCAGCAGAATATCCATTGCCTTTAGCACATCTTGAACCAGGTCAGAGCAAATGAGCAGCTCTGTCGTAGACTTTCAGATGTCCATAGTACCCCATCTGAGCTACACGAAGTTCCGTCTACAATTTACGCTTTACAGAGAAATACCGAGAAATATTGATACCGTTAACATTATTTTTAACAGCCAAATCTTTTCCAAATCGTTTAGAATTTTGTCAGTCGATTGCCAACTATCAAAACATTTTCGACAAAGTTTTATGGTTTGGCGAGGCAATAATGTTTTCAAGGAGATAAAGCTTTAAACACTGTAATAAGTAATAAGTTGTACGAATGTGTAAGTTACCTTGTGTAAGATAGCTAATTTCAATGTTCCCTGCGAATTTATTATTAACACATTTTCAGAATATATTGTCAATAGGTATTTCTTATAACCGATTTTTCTTAATATATGGTCAATGGCAAGAAGGCTCTGTATTTTGTGTGCCTTGAGAATTTATTACTAACACTTTTTCATAATATATCTTCAATGAGTATTTATTATAAACAGGTTTTCGAAATATATGGTGAATGGAAATAAGGCTCGTATTTTTACCATGTAGTCTTACAAATCTAGATCGTAAGGCAAACCCCGGTTTACTTGGTTAAATTGAGCTGCAATGGTTATATTTGTTTTTAATCCTACGTAACAGTCAATAGTTAAAAAAAAAGCATAAACACCAGAATGCGAAGGCATTCTACAAAATTTGAATGAAAGTGTATGTTGACTAATTAATGATGCCAATCAAATATAGCCAACATCTAGCCCCGCATTGTCAAAGACATTGTAAAGTGTAATAGTAATAAAGTAAGATGTACCCAGAATTGATAGTCGATAATTAACTCCCACGAAAACCACGTCTTGCGTCATCAAATACTGAGGAGTGCCAAAGTACTCATATTCTTGATTGCCGCTTCCAACCGTAAATCCACCCCCATGTAAGTGGACCAAAACAGGCTTGGCTGGAAGCCCGTCCGAAGGCAAATTTCGGGTTCAGATAAAGACAATCTTCGGAACCTATCACCGTCTTGCTTATTGAATTGCCTTGACAGCACATATTCCCATCTTCAGTTGCATCTCGCACACCTTGCCACTATTCTGGTGGTTGCGGAGCCTACAATTAATTTCTTAGATTTTTAAAATAATTTCCATATTAAATGAAGCGGCATATAGGGATGCCACAGAATCAGACAAACTTTCTAACGAATGTTTACAAAAAAAAAAGCAGAAAATCTTTTATATTGTCAAGACACTTAAATAATTTAAATTTTATAAAATAAACGTTAAACTGGTGATACGCCTCAAAAATCAATGATTCGTTGTACAATACAATGTGCGCATCGCGCTATTTAAAACTGATAATGATAAATTTTGTCACAATTTTGATAGTCACTTTAATGGCGATTTTGAATTTATGCGAGCGAAGCGAGTGTTTAATAAACGAGTGATTAAAAAAATTTATCAATGTGTTTTTGGGCACATTTTTTGATGTTGCCAGAACTCTCAAATTAATGGACTCTAGTTGAAGCAACAAGAACGTTCGAAGTGATTCGCGACAGTCAGTAACGAAGCTGAAGTTACACTATTCGCAGGATTAATTCGTGCATAATTGGCTATTTTAGAGTAGGGAGTAAAAATTTTTCTTTTCATGAAAGTATCAGAGTCAGACTGATGAAACTAACTGAAATTTGGACAACTCATCACCATATACCAGTCATGGAGAGTTTAAATTGTTCCTCGGACTCAATTCATTGAGCTCTTAGTGCTCTTACTCGACTGCCACCTAGTGGTGCGCAGCTGGTTAGGAATTGGGAATGAACTGGAGTTTCCTCCTCTTATAAAAACAGCCCGCATGTGTTGTAGTCGCTTAACCTCATGATATACAGGTCCCTTCTCAGATAGCAGTTGTAGCAACGTTCTTGATCTGAGAGACTGAGAGCCTACTTTTAGTCCCGAGGCGTAGAGGGTCTTGCAATTAGAACCCCCGACTGCCTCAGCATCGGTAAAATGTCCCAGAGCCTCACTCTTCATCACGCTGTTTGCTATTTCGACACCGCCGCGTCCCTAGCCAATCCGTCTGCCATTTCGTTGGCCTCAATAGCCACAGGAGCAGATACCCAGACCAGATTGACAGAATTATATTCCTCCAGTTTTGTCAATGTTTTTAGGCAATCGAGTAGCAATCTTGAGCACACCTCCATAGTGGTAAGAGCCCGGTCAATCGCTCGACTGTCGCTGCAAATTTATCGTAGTACCCTCTGTTTAGGTTGTCGTGAGCACACACCAATATCCCCCTTCCTACATTTTAAATCAAAAATATTTCTAAACTACGTCCTCCATATATATCAGAAAGTCCTCGAAAAAGGCTGTCTGGTAATTCCGTCAATGAATATCGACTCTGTCCTCGAGCTAAATACTGCACGAACGAGTTCCTTTAAAAGCAGACACTAAAAACCATATCTCCCATTTTAGTTATGATTTATGGAAATTCAGACAGCCATGTTTCAAAATGTATTAAGAAATCGATTGAAAAATTGAAATTTAAAAGGCTACACGCCACGCAACCAAATTTTTAGAGAGGTCATTTACCCGGTCCCTGAATAAAATCGTTCACCTTCTCAACTTATTCTCAGAGGGTTTCATTTAAGTAGATATTTAAACATTTTATACACCCGTAAGGAAGATTTGATTATTTTTTCATTTTATTTCGAATAACATTTGAATAAACACAAAGAATTTGAAGTAATGAGGAATTAACAGTCTATTACATAAATACCTACAGAATTTTGTGAATTCGGAAGTTTTCAGGTGCAGTAAAATAAGCAACGGCTTAAATTTTAAATCCCTTTGTTGAAATGTTCTTAATATTTTGAATCACCTTTCGAGTACATCATAAAGTGTCTCACTCGAAACAAAATAGAAGAAATTTTGGGAATAAATCTGTGCAGTTTGAACCAATGCAGTTGAGACCAATTTCAAACAATATATAGACCACAAATTACTGAAACATGGAACAAAAATTTCTAGAAAATCCTGCAAACAAAAAGAAATAATATAGGGGACAAGTTTGCAAATGATTTAATTAGTATCGAGAAAATGCGGTAATTTAAAATCAGCAATTGAAAATGAAATGAATGTTGATTAAATTTTGATTCGGGGTAACTTTTTCGTTTTTAAAGATACC